AGTTTCCCTGATTATTATTAGCAGGAAGGAAATTTCCCTCCTGGTCAGTTTTAGAGTATCAGTCATTGGCCCAATGATATCCCCTTCGGCAACGGGAGCATAAACCAGGTCTCTTGAGACCCGTAGTACTATTTTGAGGGCACTCTCTACAGAAGTGTCTCTCCCTACGCAGCTGAAACATGTTTTTCTCCCTCCCAGAGTAGGTCTTTCTTTCCCCACTTGGGGCCGAATAGCAGCAGCTAACACTTGGCCCTGGATGAAGTTCCCATCAATGTCCCTACAGATCCGGATATAATCATTTAGACTTTTATTACGATAGGGGCGAAGGGCTTCCTTACAATATTTATTTGCATTTTCAAAAGCCATCTGCTTGATGACTGGCGTCGCAGGCCCAATGCCCCCAAATATTCTTTCTGCTACCTGACTGAGATGGTCTAGAAGTCTTGAAAAGGTTCGGAGGGTCCTTGAAGGACTTTGGACAGATGATCCCCTCCTTCCTTAGAAGACAATGCTTTCTAAGCCCCTTGGGCCGCTGCTGCCACTTGGGCATAGACTGCGATGTCATATTGCATTTGTTGCTGAATGGTGGCCTATTGACCACTCCCGGTAAGCATCTCCACATTTCTCTGGGGCTGTCCAGCCTGTGCATTTCTTTGGGCTGTCTGGCTGCATCTTTCCTGAAACTCATCCCTCCAAATCAAATAATCTCCCCCTGATAGAGTAGCTTGGCAAAGCTGCTCCCAATCACTAGGTGTCAAGTTAAGAGACACAAAAGATTCCATTAAGGAAAGTGTAAAGGGAGCCTGCACTCCATAATTTAAAGTTTTCTCTTTAAGTTGTTTTATATCTTTAAAATTTAAAGGGTTATGACAGCGAAGGACCTGCCCAGAATTGTTCGGGTCTGGAGCTTCTATTACCAGGGCCACCACCGGGCAGCATTGGACCCCTCCTTTGGGTCTTCCATCGAGGTCCAAGGAGGACTGGGTTATATCATAGGAGGAGTCTCTTTTTTCAGAGTATGGAGAAGGGTTTCTCTCCCTGTCCTGTCTTTTCTTAATTTGAGTCTTTTTTAGTTCTTTTTTAAGGGCTGCAATCTCAGCAAGTAACCGTTCCTTCTCAGACTCTGACAAGTCTGAGTCTGAGCTACTTCCATTTTCTAGGTCTGACAGATGATGATATAACCGATTCTGACTGGAGTCCTTCTTTTTGGGTCGCGCCCGGAGATCTCTACCCGTTTTTTTTTGTTGTTGTTGCTAAGAGACTTCTCCTCATCCTCACTAACAATGGAGCCTCTAGTTTCAGTCAGGGTCTCTTCAGATGGTTCATCATCACCCTCTGCCCCTGAACTCAAGGAGGCTTGAGTCTCAGTCTCTTGTAACTCTAAAAATGCCTCGTTTGTATCCTGAACTACCTGGTGGTGACGAACCTTATCTGTCAAAAGTGCACCCCTCACTAATCTCCATAAGGAGAATGTGGTAGGGGGCAAGGACTCAGATCCCTCTTTTTGTAAAAGTCTATGAAGATCACGGTGAACCTCCTCCCAATCTGGGATATTTAAACTTCCCCCCAGTAATGAACCATGGGCTCACTCGTTCAATCGATTTTAGAAAGCCTTCTAGGGTTTTAGACTTGACTGCAGTCTCATGTCCTTTAAGTAACTTTTTAAATTGATACTGTAATGATTCAAGCTTCCTGGAACTATTCCCCATCGTTTCTTTACCCCGTCCACATACCTCGCTTTCACGATCTCGGTGGGACCTCCAATTGCCGCATCTGCTGCACAGCCTGTGTCTGAGAACGTGCGGAGGGTGTCAGGGATTGACAACACAGAGACTTGTTCAACGATGTAAAGAAAACTTTAAGCAGGCCCCAAAAAGGCTCAAGAAAAACTTCCCAAGAAAGGCTTCCCTCCAGAAAAGCTTCTGCTCTCCCCTCTCCCCTGGCTGGTTCTGCTCTGACACCAAAAACTGATCTGGGTGTGTCAGAAGAGGCGGTTAGTCTTTGAACAAGGTCGAGGTCAGGGTAGTTCCCGGGGGCAAGCCCTTTCCAGGAACTTATTGCCCCGGGCATTGTATTGTTTTTAGTAAACATGTTTTTAGTAAACATTGTCATACAGCTGCCTACTCCCAGGCCGATGGGGAAGTGGGTCTCTGCTCAAGGTCTGGTGTCCCCACAGGAGTAGACAGCTGTTTGCTTTTGTTCCTTTTTTTAAATTAAAAAAAATTATATACATTGGTGTTTTGCCATGGGTGTCAGTCAGGTCCCCTGAAACTGGGGTTACAAACAGTTGTGAACTGCCATCTGAGTACTGAGAATTGAACCCTGGTCCTATGAAAGAACAGTCAGTGCTCCTAACTGCTCAGTCATCTCTCCAGCATGTTTTTTTAAAAGATTTATTTATTTCAGAGATCCACAACCAAGAAACCAGGCCCAGCTCCAGGAATCCAGTTAAAGAGAGGAAGGAGGGAATATATGAGCAAGGGAAGTCAAGATCATGATGGAGAAATATACAAGGTCATAGAAACCCATGAGCTCTAGACCAACAACGATAGACTCCCGGAGAGCAATCTAGGTCTTCCATTTGTGGGAGACAGTTGTGAAACTTGGATTATCTGAGGGGCCCCTGACAGTAGAGTCATGATATAAATCTGATACATGAATCAGCTTGTTGGAGCCCGTTCCCTATGGTGGGATGTCATGCTCAGTTTAATGCATGGGAGAGGGGCTTGGCCCTGCCTCAACATATTGTGTCAGACTTTGTTGACTCCTCATGACAGCCCTTACCTGTGAGGAGGAGTGGACTGGGGGTAGGATGTGGGGTTTGAAGGGGGTAGTAGGAGGGGTGGGTGGGAGAACTGTGGTTGAAATGTAAAATGAAATTTAAAAGAATAAATAAATTATAGAAAAAAGATTTGTTATGTACACAGTGTCCTGCCTGCATGTATGCCTGCATGCCACAAGAGGGCACTAGGTCTCATTGTAGATGGTTATGAGGGACCCATGGTTGCTGGGAATTGAACTCAGGACCTCAGAAAGAGCAACTAGTGCTCTTAACCACTGAGCCATCTCTCCAGCCCCTGCTTTTGTTTCTAAGTATTGGGAGCCCTCTAGGCTCAAGAGCTCCTTTGGTGAATGAGAGGTTTGCAATTGACACTGAGGTTTCTTTTCCTAGATAACTCTAGCTTGTGTCAAGTTGAAAAGGAAGTGGGGAGGGGGAAGGAGGAAGAGATCGAGGGAGGGACAGAGGGAGGGAGGGAGGGAGAGGAAAGCAAAGCAGATGTTACTTTGGGTCTCAACTCCAGCATCCACACCCAACTCAGCCTGGCCGAGGACTCTTGTCCCCATGGTGCTTGCCTGTGCCATTCTTCGGCGGCTCAGTGGGTCCTTTCTCTTTCCTCTCTTGCAGTAGACAGCCTGTAGGGCAGCCCCTCAATGGTCCCCATCTGCTGGTATTCACATTTTCACACTTGCACTCTTGAGTTTGGGTGGGGTCCCAGAATAGATTAAAGGGGCTGGAATGTCATTTCTTTGCCTATCTGAGATTGTGGCTCACGTCTTGCTAGCTGACTTAGTTTTTGCCCTTCCATGAAGCAAGTGAGCATTCTGGGGAGTCACACAAGCCATGATGAAGGCTGTCTCAGACTGGCAGTCCCCAGGGATTGAATCCTGCCAACAATTCTTCCTCACTTCAGCCTCAGATGAGACCCTAACCCTGGCCCCAAACTGCCTGTATCCTTGTGAGAAGCCTGGATCAAAGGGCCTAACAATGCTGTGCCTAACCCGGATCAAGATAGGCTGGGGCACGATGACCACATGTTGCTTGAGCCACGTGCATGACAGTAGGTAGGCAGTTTTCACATTAGTCCATGTGGTTTGTGCAGGTCCAGGAACAGCTCCTGTTCTGAAAGCCTGATCCCAGACTTGGTGATATTCAGACATGAAGAGGCAGGGAACAATGGGAAGTGGTTAGGTATTTAAGAGGGTGTGATGGCTAGTTCCTACGTCAACTTGACCCAATCTAGAGTCATTTTGGAAGAGGAAACCTCAATTGAGAAAATGCCCCGCCAGATTGGTGAGTAGGCAGGCCAATAGTGCATTTTGTTAATTTTATTGGTGAGGGAGGTCCTATCCTGTTATGGGGGGTGTTATCCCTGAGCAGGTGGTCCTGGAGCACATAAGAAAGCAGGTTGAGCAAGTTTTAAGGGCAAGCTGTTAAGCAGCACCCCTCCACGATCCTCATTAGCCCCTGCCTCTTGGCTTCCTGCCCTGTTTGAGTTCCTGCCCTGACTTCCCTGGATGATGAACTGTGATGTGGAAGGGAAATCAACCCTTTCCTCTCCAGGCTGCTTTTGGCCATGGTGTTTTATCACAGCAATAGAAATTCTAAGACAGCTAGATTAAGTTTTTTTCTCTCTCTCTCTCTCTCTCTCTCTCTCTCTCTCTCTCTCTCTCTCTCTCTCTCTCCCTCCTTCACCCTCTATCCTCCCTTGTATGGACCCCATCCCTTTCACTGTGTTATAGCATCTTCCATGAAGCCTTGTCAGACTCAACCAGACACCACCACTATGTTCTTAGACTGTGAAGAAAATGGACTTCTTTCTTTTAGAAATTACTCAGCCTCTTATTTTTTTTGGTCTTGTTTTTTGGAGATAGCTCTGGCTATCCTGGAACTTGCTTTGTAGACCAGGGTGTCCTCAAACTCACAGAGATCTGCCTGCTTCTGCCACCCAAATGCTGGGATTAAAGGTGCGTGCCACCACCGCAAAGCCTGATGTTTTGTTATATGTCAGAAAACAGACTAAGACCTTCTTAATTCCATGACACTTTATCTATTGAAAGGGACCTGTTTCCTAGACAATGAAATGTTTCTAGATATTGTGGCTTTAATGGCAGTAAATTGTTATCTGCCGTAGTGTACATCCTTGGGAAATAAGGAAATCAGTAGAAACTAAACTATTTTTTTAAAAAAGATTTATTTACTTATGTATTTTATCTATTTTTGTTTGCATGTATATCTACATCTCAGAAAAGGGCATCGGATCCTACAGACAATTGTGAGCTGCCATGTAGATGCTGGGAATTGAACTCCAGAACTCTGCAAGATCCACCAGTACTCTTAACCCTTGAGTCATTACTCCAGGCCCATTGACCCTGGAGGAATTCTATTCATTTTTGTTCTGTCCAGAACATGTCTATAGAGGGCTGATGAAAGCCCCAGGAAAGGATCTTACAGTGATCCTGTTTAACTAGTGGCACCCCAATTCCATGTGTTGATACTAGGGATTGGAGTGATGTTGTGAGTCCATAGGCAAGGCAGTCCCACCATGCAGATCTCAAGTCCAGACTCATGTAAGACCCAAGCCATGTTGACATGCTCATTTAAAACAAGAATCATGCCTTCCTGTTTGATTTAAAAATGAACCTCTCTTTTGCACTCTTGTACATTTGTAATTCTGCTCTATGTGGGGCATTCTGTTACAACACAATAAAAACAGACTATGGAGTGCCTCAAAAAAGAAAGAACAAGAATGTGTATATCCTGGCCTAAGTGGCATCTGTGAGAAGTGTCTTATAGCTGAACTACTGAGCCATCCAGAGAAATGTGACTGCTTGGTAAGCCCTAGCATGGGAAGACAGGATCTGCCAATCCGGTAGGGTTTATGGTAATAGGCAAGAGAAAAAAATAGGGCTGGTGAGATGGGCCAGTGGGTAAAGGCACTTGCTGAACTAACCTGCTTCCCTGAGTTTGGTTTCCCAAACCCACATCTAGGTAGGAAGCGAACCCACCCCTTCAAAACTCTTTTCTGACCCCCAAATGTGCACCATTGCACATCAGCCTACCCACAATCATGCATACAAACAAAATATCAATTAAACATTTTAAAATAGGGAAATAATAATATTCTACATTTCACTGCATCTTATTGCACAGTGGAAACCATTTCATATTCTTTGACATGCAAGCCTGTAGTGAGTAATAACTCAGTCAATGTTTGCTGATTCACCCGATATAATCACTTCTAAGATTGGGTTAATGAAGGATAGCAGACTCCATCAACGGTGACTGCCACCTACATTTAAGGTTTGGCAGAAAGAATGGATGCAGTGTTGTCCCTGTGGAGAAAGTTTGTGCTGAGAACTCAGAAGGAGGAATTCAGGCAAGAGAATCCAGGCAGAATAGGCCTCAACTTGCCATCAAACTGGCAAGCGGACTGCCTCTCACCTCGACTGCATCCAGAGGCAAACATCTTAGTGACATCTTGCTGCCTCCTGGGGTGCCCAAGAGTCTAAGGAAAAGGAAGATCACAGTCATCATGCAAGGCAAAGGACGTCTCAGTCATCATACAGGAGCCTGCTCATAGGTAAATTCTATTTCCTCCCTTGGAAATCATAATTAGATGCAAAAAAAAAAAACCAACCCAAAACCAACCATCCCATCTAGGCCATAAACCCAATAATCTCATTGCATGGATTAAAAGACAAACCAAATCATTCAAACAAATGAAAACCTTGAGATTCATGGGTGAGGACGTAGCATGAGTGGTAGACTATTTGTGAGGCCCTGGGATTGATCTCCAACACCAGGGAAAAATAAAAATAAAGAGTATCAACAAAGTAACAACAACAAAAACAAGTTGCAGAAATTTGAATAGACTCATCCACAGTCACATAGTCAGTTGGTTGCAAGATAAACTAGAACAAAGTACCCTCTCCTTACCACTCCCATACTCTGCCCTTGACAGACAATTTGTAATCACAGGACAGTTTATAGCTGTGGATGCCATATCAGCAGGGGACTTCCCACATTCTGGGGGTGAAGCCCAGCTGAGAACAAACATGGGAGTGCCTGGGATACTGGCCCATCTTCCTGCCTTCCCTCGAGGCTCTACGAGTTGGGAGTTCATCAACAGCACGAGGCATCTTGTTCTGATTCTCTTGTCAGGGCGGTCCTGGCAGATCTCTCCATTTCCTGGAAAGGAATAAGCTTTTAATCTCTGAGCTCAAATTCACTTTGGATGGGAGGTAAGAGAACTGAATCCCTCCAAAGTAGATCTGTCTTCTTCCTTCTTTCTTATGTGTCCAGCAGTGGAAAACTAGGGGTTCTGTCCCTGTAGCCTTGAGCAGCCTTGAGCTGAGATCCAGGGGGCAGCAAGAACCCAGGCAGAGCCAGATTCCTTCCCTCAGCCCTGTCATCACAGCCTTGGACTCCCAATGAAGAGCTTGGAGCTCTTTGTGTACCACTGCCTGGATCTTGAAAATGTTTTTTGCTCACTCCCTGCTCCCCATGTTGGGTCTCATATCAACTCACCTCTTCTAAGAAGCTCTGTTGACTCTCTGCTGGGTTTTGAATGTGCCCTCCCAAGTCTACGTGTCCAGAATATTAATCCCCAAATTCCTATGTTAATATATCTGGAGGTGGAGCCTTTGGAAAGTAATTACATTAGGTCATAAGGGTATAGCCTCCACAATGGCATTAGAGATTTGTAAAACAAAACAAACATAAAACCAAAGAGAAGCCTCTGGTGGCATTCTAGCCCTGTCTTCCATGTAAGAAAGCCCTGATTAGAAGCAGCTGAAGCTGACCCTATGTTTTTTTACTTCCCAGAGTCCAAAACCACAACACACACACACACACACACACACACACACACACACACACACACACACACACACACACACACATGCGATGTGTATGGTTTTGTTTTGCATGCTTGTCTGTGTACCACACGCATGCCTGATGTCTCCACTGAGGCCAGAAAAGGATATCAGCTCTCCTGGGACTACAGTTATAGTCAGTTGTAAGCCACTATGTTGGTGCTGGAAGTCAAACCTGGGTCCACTGGGAGAGCAGCCAGCTCTCTTAACTGTCGGGTCATCTCTCCAGCTGCCCATCTCTCCAGCTGCTCTAGATAGGTTTCTTTTTTTTTTTTTAAACAAATTTGCAAATCTTTATAAATCATCCAGGTAGAGACATTGTGCTATAGCAACAGGAAGTTGATTAGACATTCCTCTGGTTCTGGATTAGTTGTTTTTCCTAGGTGCACCTATAACACTAGCCCATTCCTAGCCCTACCAACTGGGCTGTGATCGCTTGCTTACTTAATGTGTAGCCTTCTTGCCACTCCCCTGGCTGACAATGAGACATCCTTGTAAGAAAACAGAAATGGGATCTCAGCTCTCAGGTCAGGTAGATAACTACAGCACCCACCAACACTCTGAAGACAGTTTCTTCTCTCTCTCTCTCTCTCTCTCTCTCTCTCTCTCTCTCTCTCTCTCTCTCTCTCTCTCTCTCTCTCCTTTCTTTTCTCAGTGCTGGGGAATTGAACCCAGGACCTTCTGCACATTGAGCAAGTACTGCTTTCTAGGTTGGGCACTTCCTGTCTAAGGCCTTGCCTGAATGGTCCTGCTGGGACTCTGAGGCATCTTTGTCTGCCAAAGCAAGTGGGTGTTGGAAGGGTTTTAAAGATGTCACCCTGGGCATTTAGCTAGGCAGGTAAAGGCCCTTTTTGTCAAGCCTGGTGACTTGAGTTTGAACCCTAGAGTTGACACAGTAGAAGACAGCCAACTCCTTCAAGTTATCACCTCCCCACCACACATACACAGTGGCACCCGTGTCTCGTGGCACACCTATACTTACATAATACGTGGGTGCGCACGCGCACACACACACATTCACAAATAAATAAGTAGATGTAATAAACAATTGTAAAGATGTCATCCAACTCTCAATGACTTTGAAAGTGAGGGCTGGCCTTGGGAAAACGAGGGACTGACACTGCACGGAGAATAAATGGGTCCTGTGGTCAGCAGACCAACTTTGTTCCTAGGGCAGGGTTCCTCCCCACAGTACCAAAACCAAGGACCAAGCATCCAGGATTCTCCTGCCATCACGCTGAAGCAGTCTCAACTACCCCAACCAGGGGGGCAGGGGACAAAAGAAGCCAATTGTCACTTTGTTCTTCATAGAATGTGAAGTGCCCGGCTGTGTCCTTTTATTTCTGCCCCTTTCGGGGCCAATGAATATTGTCTGCTTGTCTTGTACTGGATGCTGTATAGTGTCCACCTCATTTACGGACACATGTTTATCAGACACCGAGCAAGGTCACCTTGTCAGTAAGGAAGCTAAAGCTTATGTGGCTTTGTCAGTGGGAAAACTTGGACGAGATTCTGGCCTCGGATCTCAGCCTGCTCCCATGATCCTTTTGCTTACCTCAATGCCAGCCCCAGAAAGACGGGTCCTACCTCCTCAGGCCTTCAGGCTGATGGCTACGGAATTTCCGCTTGAACCCGGATGAGATATGGGGGGTGGCAAAAGATCCAACAGGCATGAGGCCGACTCCAGGGGCTGGCAGTTTTCTTCCCGTGCCACGTGAAATTTTTCCAAATATGGGGAGCCATCTGTTGATGATGTGAGAATTGGGCAACTTCCACCCTCATCATTAGCTTGGCAGCAATGGAAAGTGAGTCCAGAAAGAGCCCTTGTGTATCGTAGAGGAAATTCAAGCCGTATGTTTCTCATTCATATACTCTTAAGTCATCAAAATGTTGGTTTTAAAAAGGCTTTTGATGTCCAACTTGTTTTCTGCTTTTTTTTATGGGGGAGGGAGGGAGAAGTCACGATTCTTTGGCTGTAAATTATCCAGTTTGGGAAAGTTGGGGATGGTTCCATCACCTCAGATCCCAGAAGTCTAGAGGGAACTCCAGGTAGGGGTCTGCCTTAGGAACAGAGGCAGAGACATTTGCTCTCTTTCAACAGAATGTAGCTTGAGCGCCTCATTAGTGCTGAGCATGGTAGCAGGTACCAGGGACCCACAGTAGCCTCTGAATCTGAATCCAAAGAAGCAACCCCACATGAAGAAACTTCACCTAAGAGTAGTTAATAGGCTCAGAGTCACCTATGCCACAGGTACAGTCATGTGGGATGCTTTGCTCTGCCGTGTATTCTTAACCTTTCCTGCCTAGAGGAAGAAAATGAGGACGAGGAGGAGGAGGCATGAAAGGAGAAGTTGCCTAGCAGGGAGAAAGGGAAGAAATCTGCACAGAGGAAAGAACGCCTGAGAAGGTTCAAAGAAGGGATGAAGGCACAGAACATGGCTTATTTCGTTTTCTATTGCTGTGACAGGATACCCAAAGCTGGGCAATTTAGAAAGAAAAGAGATTTATTTAGTTCACAGTTTTGGAAGCTGTGGTGGTTGAATGAGAATGGTTCCTAAAAGCTCATATGTTTGAACGTTTGGTTCCCAGTTGGCATAACTGTTTTAGATACACGTGGAGGTGTGGCCTAATTGGAGGGGATGTGGTCTTGTCAGAAAAGGTGTGGTCTTGTTGGAAGAGGTGTGTCACTGGGGTGGACTTTCAAGTTTCAAAAGTCCAAGCCATCCCTGTTAGTATGCTCTCTTCCTCTTTGCCTTGTTGGTGTTGACTCAACATGTAAGTTCTCAGCTACTGCTCCAGCACCGTGTCTGCCTGCCTGCCTGCCACCATGCTTCCCATCACAGCCATGGATTAACCCTCTGAAACTGTAAACAAGCCCTGACAAACTCTTTCCTTCCTTCCTTCCTTCCTTCCTTCCTTCCTTCCTTCCTTCCTTCCTTCCTTTCTTCCTTCCTTCCTTCCTTCCTCCTTTCCTTCCTTCCTCCTCCTCCTCTTCCTCCTCCTCCTCCTTTTGATAGGGTTTCTCTGTGTAGCTGGCTGGCTGTCCTGGAACTCACTCTGTAGACCAAACTGACCTCAAACTCACAGAGATCTACCTGCCTTTGCCTCCCAAGTGCCTTGTCATGGTGTCTCGTCACTGAAATAGAAACATAATTAATAAAGAACCTAAGTACAAGATTAATCCTATGTGCTTGGCTTCTAGTGAGCATCATTTCACTGTATTACAATATGACAGGTGTCATCATGGTGAAAACAATAAAATCTCTCCTCTCTCTCTCTCTCTCTCTCTCTCTCTCTCATCTCACTGTGTATCTAAGGCTGGCATAGGGCTCAAGATCCTAGCCTCCAGAATGCTAGGATTACAGGTATATGCCAGCACTCCCAGCTACAGTCTTGTCTCTTAAAGATTCTGCCTACAATCTCCTAGCATCCCCACCCAAATACATGAGTTTCAAGTGAATGGACTTTTAGAGGAAGGTTTCAAACCACATCCAAATCATGGCAAAAAGTCAGTGTGGTAGAGGATAAAAGGGAAGCCAGAGGTGAGGCTTTAGAGACTGGTGAGGGCCAGACTGCCAGGGCCTTGGCCCCAAGGTAGAGGGGTCATCTTAACCCAAGAGGAGAAGGGCACATAGTTTAGTAACTCTTTGGGTTAATCTGTTATAGAGCTAGAGTCGAGAACCACAGACTAAGGTGGTGGTAGGCAAAATGGTGGGAAGACTTTAGGTTTTATTTTATAGGTTTTTGGTGTCATTGATTGCAGGGTGGGCAGGGAGAGGAGAGATGTTTAGGATGCATGAGCCAAAAGTGAGGGATGTCAGTGGAGAAGCCCAGGGGAGGCCTTCAGCCACAGGCTGCCAGGAGGGAGTGCTGTGTAGGCGCTTCTGTTGTATTTCCATCTGATATGTGAGCTCAGCTGGGACCTGAAGGTTTTCCAGGACCTTAAAATCCAGGCTTTTCTTCTTATTACCCAAACAGCTTAATCAGTGTGTTTGCAACACCACCCTGATAGAAATGAAACACAGAGTTGCCAAGAGGACTGAGTGCCTGGATCTACTGGAGAATGTTTAGATATTTTACTGAAGTGAGTTGGGACTTCCAGGATGGACAGGCACTCTCAGATGAAGAGGGACAGACATCTAAATCATGTGTGGAGAACATGTTGAGTCTAGATAATGGTGAAATGTTCAGACTGGCAGCGACTGAGATGCCTGGTGGTGGCAATACGGCTAGAGGGAGTGGGGAGCAGGGATAGCTGATGAGAGCTGAGGAAGTCAAGCCAAGGACCCAGATCTTAAGGATAGCACTTCTCAAGCCTGCAATTCTCCTTTCACAGCATCAGGGCGTTGCCTTCTCACACCAAAGGCCCGTTGGAAATTTTCTCTAGTCTCCTGTCCTTACGGACCACCGTATCTAGGCTGTCCTAGACTTTGCTATGCTTGAAGCTTTTATGTATTGCTTTGAGACAGGGTCTTGTGTAGCCACAACTAGTTTCAACTTGCTAGGTAGCCAGTGACAGCTTCTCTATTTTCTGGTTTTTGTTTGTTTATTATTTTGAGACAGGGTCCGTGAAGTCTAGGCTGGCCTTAAATTCACTACGTAGTCCAGGATGACCTTGAATTTCTGATCCTCTACCTTCACCTCCCAGTATTAGCTTATGTGGTTTATGTACTTGGTAGCAAACCCAGAGCTTTGTGCATCCTGGATAAGCATTCTAGCAGCTCAACTATGTTCCCAGTCTTTCGCGAAGCATTTTAAAGGAGACCTTACAGCCTTACTGGGTCACTCTCAACTGGCTCAAAAGGCATACTTCTAATTTTTTTTTATCCTCAGTTGCAGCCTATTTTTGTGGATTCTTCAAGGATTGGAAGCAGTCATCGTCTGCTGCAATGTTCTTAGGCAATCACCAATGGAAAGCATGCCATGGACTCCCAGGATGTGAAGTCTGTAGCCAAGAAGAAAAAGTATTAAAGACACATTCTTTGACCACAACTTGTTCATATATGAGTGTAAGGAAAGGACGGAAGAAGACCCATGCAGGATCTATTTATAATCCTAGCACAGGAAAGGCAGAGGGAGATGGATCCAAGTTCAAGGGCAGCTTTCTCTCTGGTCTGGGAAGTTCCTTGCCTCTCAGAGAGCACTTACCCCAGGACTTTAGCACTTACTGGTTTCCATGTTTTCCTCTCTGATGACAGATTAAGTTCTTCAAATAAAACCACAAGGGAAAGGGTCCTTTTCCTCTCTGTGTGAATTCCGGACCCCTGCCTCATGATCTACCTCATAACGGGTGTTATGTTAACGAATTTGATGCACAAAAGTAAGACAATGAGTTTCCTTTAGACGTTCAAAAGACACAGGGATACCTGTGGGTCAGAAGGTCCAGAAAGTTTGTCAAGGCACTGGAGTACTTACTAGATGCTTAGTTTCTTGGAGTGGGAAATAGGAACCAAAATAATGAAGTTGGAAAGCGGTAAGTTGGGGAGGAGAAAGGACTCTCATAATCAATCCTGGTTAATGGTTAGCAGGTGGCAGCCCACAGCCCCTGCTCTCCAACACGAAGCACAATGGGTTCTCCGGGACACAGAGACCATGGGATTTTAAAATTTGAGACCAGGTGCTGGGGCATGGGGATGCTGGTTCATTCTGACACTGGAGTACCAGATGACTGTTTTTGTTTTTTTTTTTTTCTGGAGGCTCCCTGTGCCCCCTTCTGGGTCAGTCCTTTCCCTCTCACTCAAATTAAAACAGCTAATTTTAGACACTTCCTGATTACTCCTAGCTGGCTCTCATTAGCAGATTGAAAACGGGTTGCAGCCTCAGCTGGAGAAGAAACAACTTTCATTGGTCCTGGTCTGTTTTCCATCTCCACGTTGCTGTTGATGTTGGCTGCCTTGGAACAAAGCAAAATGAACTCCTTCCAAAGAGAGTGGACCACAGGCTCTTGGCTGGGAGCCTGAAGCAGTGGTGAGGGGTGAAGGAGCACATGTCCGAGAGAACATGACCACCACTGGTGGGCAGGCACGTGTTTTGTTCATATTCCATCTCAAAAGTGCATAGGCATTTATTTTTCATTTATATATTCATTCAGTGTTTCAACTTAGCATATACCAGGCTCTGAACTGACCCCCTACTCCACTTACCATATTGCAGGGTCTAAGTACACAAAAGTGTTCCATGAACGCTTGCTGCTAACCAAGGTCTCACAGTCAGTGAGTACCATAGACTAGCAGATGACCACCATCTCATGTAATTCATGTTGAGGTTCAAAGGAGAATGCACGACAGATTAGCAACACCAGCACGGTATCACAGCAACTGACTTCCATTGTGTCCTTACCTCCCAGATTCTACCTAAGGGTCTTGCATCTGCTAACTCACTCAAGAACCCAATGAACACAGAAGAGGGCCATGAGACTCAGTAGGGAGAGGGCAGCAGGGAACAGAGAGATTAAGATAAGAGAAGTTCTTTTAGGCAGTTGGAATGCAAGATGTACTGCTTAGTCTTTTTTGTCAGCTTGCCACAACCAAGAGTCACTTGTGAAGAAGGAGCCTCAACTGAGGGTTGCCCGGATCAGACTGGCATGTGGACAAGTCTGTGAGAAACTGTCTTAATTGACTATTGATGGGCAAGGGCTCAGTCCACTTTGGTGCCATCTCAGGGCAGGGGGTCCTGGGCTGTATAAGAAAACTAGCCAAGCAGAAGTTGAAGGGTAAGCCAGCATGATCTCTGTTTTAAGTTCCTCCCTTTGGTTTCTGCCTTGGCTTGCTTCAGTGATGGATTTGGGGCCTGGAAGTGAAAGCCAAGAAAGCCTTTTCCTCCCCAAGGTGCTTTTGGTATGTGTTTATCACAGTAACAGACTGAAAACTAGAACAATGTGCAAAGATGTGGAGGTGTCAAGTACAGAATTTGGGCATTGATACAACTCTCCCCCCATTTTTTTTCTCTTGCCATGGAGAAAAAGGTTCATGTAAATATTTGTCGTTGGCCATGTCTCTTGATTAGAAGGTAAGTTTCCAACATCTCCTGGGCATCTTAAATGCTTTGAAAATGATCTCCAACAATGCCCTGGTAGATTTGCATCTTTAGTCAACAGAACAACTGTGAGGAACCTATTAAGGCTCTTCCTCTAACTACCACACTCTCTTTCTTGCTGCTTTTCCTGTTCCCACAATGGATCTCAGCAATGTTGGTCTCATTTTTAGTCTGCTCTAGATTCTCCAGGCATTGCTCTTCTCCCTCTTCTAACAGCTTGTTTCCTAGTTGGTAGATCATTCACGTCTTTCTCCACTCTCCTCTTTCAGTTCCAGTAATCATGTGACTGTTCCCAAGAAGGATATGTAGTCAACAAATACAAGATAAATCACCACCATCCTCAGCAGGAACAGCGTCCATCATCATTATCACCATCATCATCCTCAACAGTGGGTGCATCATCACCATCATCATCACCATCAGTATCACCATCATCGCTATAATCAACATTACCTTCTCTGTAGCAGGAGCAGCACCCATCTGCGTATGACT